GCAGCAGACGCGCCACTGGTGTCTACTGCGAGCCATGTCCTGTAAAGTCTCGAGCCAAGCACAAGGTGAGTCACGTGGACTCCAACCCGGAAGGCGAGACGGACTAACGGCATCCAGTTTGGTCGTCAGTGACTTCATTTCCCGCTGCCAAGTCAACTTCTGTCCACCTCGAGCCTTGCGCCACCCTACACCTAACAGACTAAACAAGGCCCTCCTAGGTAAGCGGTGACCAGGCATGCGTAGCACGTGCCCGAGCCAACGCAACTTATTCAGTGCTATCTGTTGTTCTAGGGAGCTAGCATGATTATCAACACCTAGTACTCGCCTACGCACATCATCGTTGCGGATACACTGGTACCATCCGACACCAGCAATGCTTCGCAGACAACGACGATCAAAGACTTGAAGGCGCCTCAGATCTTCAGACTGAAGGGGCCAAGTTTCACTACCATACAGCAGAACGGCCCTCACTGTGGCCTTGTATACAAGGCCTTTCAGACGGTGGGAAACTCCCTTCTGTCGCCGAAGATGCCGCAGGTTCAAGAAGACAGCTCTGGCCTTTGCAATGCGTGAGCTGATGTCAGTTTCTATGCGCCCATCATTGCTGATGCAGCTGCCAAGATAAGTGAATTGATCAACTACCTCGAGTTCCTCGTTAGCAAGCGTCAAGGGGTCATCAAGTGGCTGGTGGTCCTGCATCAACACTTTGCACTTTGAAGGTGCGAAGTGCATACCAAGTAATGGGACCACTCTGGACAGGCTATTCAGGGTTGATTAGGCCGCCCCAACATCGCCGAAAAGCAAGAGGATATCGTCCGCATAATCTAGATCAAGTATCCTTTCACCAGGCAGCACTTCAACACCTACATCGTGGGATTCCGCAAGGGAACACTCCATGATAGAATCCACGACGAAATTGAACAAAAACGGGGAAATCGGGCAACCCTGTCGAACGCCACTTGTAGTCGAACAGCTATCCAATAGGACACCATAGACCCTGACGCGGCCTGTATTGTTCGAGTATAGAGCACGAAGGATGTTCACATATTTCGTGGGAACACCTTTTCACACAAGTAATTCGAACAGAATCGATCGATCGATCGCACAACTTAATCTTCAATCTCAAGTTCTAAAGTGTACGGAGATATTCCGCGCACATAAGACATGGTAGTATGTAGAATCAAGTAAGATGTAGACTCATCGGAATTCTCTACTGTCCGTACAGTATTTGCTGGAGGATAAGATATACCATGTGGAAGCACTGTTGAGCGGCAAACACGCGCACGATGTCCGACCTTGCCGCACTTGTGGCAAGTGGATTGTATATGTCTACAATCAGTTACTCTCTCATGTGTTTCGCCACACCTGTAGCACGTAAAGGAGCGTTTGTTGTTCGGTGACAATCGAGGTATGACCGCGTGGATTGCATCTGAAGAATGACCATGTTGGTAGTGAATTATTTGTTGAACTACATCTCTTTGCCTCACTAATGTGCATGCGGTTACCCAAATAAGCTTGTTCTCCTCTCCCGACAGTAGACGTTCTCGGGTTTTGTTATCGCGAATGCCAACTGGAAGACACTGGATAGCCATGACCTTTTCCTATTTCGTGGATGGACTCATAACTGCAATCAGACAGGCATTGTTGTATGCGGGTTATGAATTCGCTAACATCTTCATCTCTCTGCCATAGTTGGGAAAAATTTAGTCTTGCAGTAAACACATGTTGTTGCAAGCCCCAAAGACCATCCAGAGATTTCACACAGTGTGATAAGGACGTGCTTTCATACAACCGTAGCGCATTGAAATGCCTCTGTCCCTCCTCACCCAAGGGTTGTCTCAGCAGCTTAACTGGTTGTTGTTCAGTAATAGTGATGTAAAAATTTGTAATTCTGAAGAGTTCAAGGTAATCACAGAATGTTCTCTTCCATCGCGTCTAAGCTACAAGTGGGGGCTTGAAAGCCGCTTCTTTCCAAAATGGATCTGGTGAAATAAGTTGACTCATAACGATTAATTTCAGCTATAGAAACCGTCGCCAATGTTGAAGTCTACACACGCGGAAGTAACGCTAGCTTGCAACACAATAATGGCTCTTAGCCGACTAATGCAACGACAACAGAACATGTCTAGCTGGCTGCATGCAAATGCGTATTCTGGCGAGAACGGGTACAGAGCACCGATCAAGTAAGTGAAGCCAACCACACGTGAGTAGATGCTCGTTAGACAGACAGGCGCACATGGTCGTACCTGGTCTGAACGCTGATTGTCGATGGTAACTCATGTGCCACTACACGATACTTCGGATACGTGCTCGATGCATCTCCATTGAAACCCTGGATACGTTAAGGAACGTCACTCTGCCAGCAGGTTGTTCTGGGCTATAAACTACTTCTCTGGGATGACTTCCGATATCCGAACTTTTCTTCACCTCTTAAATGCGCTCGATTCTCGAGTACGGTTGGCCAGCGAGCTTCCCATGCACTAAGTTTTAGTGTGACTTTAGAGGGAAAGTTCACAGATAGGATTCAAAATCAAGCTCAATCTTTCCAAATCTGCTTAGTTCCGATAGACTCTAAGGGACGGATATGTTTTCTCTAGCCTATCGCCTTCGTCGTGAAAATCTGATTTGTACAATATGCATTCTCAGGGGGGACCTGGGCAGTAAGCCCAGATAAACATTTCAGCTTAACATTGATAGCCCAGCACGCGGACAGTTGGAGACTTGAAATAAATGAGAATATCCGTGGCTCGCGGTGTGGATGCGGGCTTTGAGCTGTTCTCCGAGCTGAGTGATTGTTATGCAGACGTTTCGTTGCCTGACTAGGCAACATCATCAGTGCGGCTTCAGGGGCCTGGTTCGCAGTGCCTCGTAAGCGACTTCAATGTCCAAGTGCTTATTGATTGAGTTCTGTTTTGAATGCCAGGCTTCAATGAACTGACGTGCTTGCCGGCTTTCAGACCTTCCGAGGAAGAAGAGTTGGAGATTTTAAACTGTAGAGCCTTCTTTGGAATGTTTCTAGAGGCTGTTGAACTTACACTTGCTTAGCTTGTAAGAATCGTGCTGTTACCCTGATGCTGTAACGGCCCACTTTGAAACACCGTGTCGCAGTAGCGTACTTCACCACTGTGTTGATCATGAATTAATAAAGTTGACAAGAGTTCTTCCCTCTGCTCTCCACAATTCAATGAACGACATCCAACTGCCTCTAAAGTTTTAACTAAGCGCATTTTACACGCAGTTTGATCTCTTGCTATGTGCTTGTGATAATTTCATCCAATCACCCACGAGGTGCTTGTCTCGCAATGCGGTCCTTAGGACGAGAGGAGTTCGCGGGCTACTTTCAGGGGGTCCGCGGGATTTCTCGAAATGTTGTACTTCCGTTAATGAATTTTCTAGACATGATCATTTTATTTTATTAGTCGAGGACAAACATGCAGGGAACATTTTGTTAAACCGTATCTGACGGTCACATTAGCCTGGTGAATGGCCTATGTAAAACCACCTCCAAGTATGAACCTGAGTTTAATTGACACTTAAAATGTGGATGCGAGTAGCTATCGAATTTCTGAAATTTAGTGTGCCAATCTCCCCGTGGCGCGATGTGTTGAGGATGGATGGGTCATTCTACGTTCACACAAGCTCACAAAACCCAGGCTATGTTCCTCTGGGGAGACGAAAATTAAGTAATAAAACGCTTTTTTTGTCACTGAAAATTGCTATCTTCTGAAATCAGCAATTTGGAAATAGAGGCCCTTCGGTGCGATTCCACCCTGGGAAGCCCAGAAGAAAAGCATGGATATTTCAGTGTTTTACAAGTGTGTTCGTTTAAAAGTTGAATTTGGAGAATCCGCTATGGTCGGATTACGATGCGCAATCTCTTTTGAGACCTTGGTTCACTTTGAGCTTGACCTCGGCTTTTGCTCACTTGACTTTGTGGACTAAAATGAAGCTACCTCTGCGTCGTTAGATTAGGGCAGCTATCCTGCTTACTTTATACTTCACTTGAAGTTCAACTTTTCCCAGTAATCAAATTTGAGATGCGTCCTGTACTCTTGTGTTAAATTATTTATTTTCATTTAGGCATTTGGCTGAAGACAGTAACCTGGATAATTGCGTCCCATTCAGCTGTAGTGATATTTGAGCTGTCTAATGTGCCTTCTGGGAATGCAGTACCAGACGTTCGGTGTACCTGTACTACCTGCTATGAAGAAACATAAATCTGTGCGACCCTGAAGGGTGGCTGATTTCTGATGTAAAATGAAGCACGAGTACCCTGTCACATGGAGGGCAACCGTCACTGTGCTTCTCCCATTCGTGAAAGTGCATCTTCGCATTACACCTATATAAAGACAGAGTACTGCAACAAACTCGAAGCAGGACCAGATAAGGCGTTGTAGCTTTTCTCAATAACAACAAACATTGTGGAAGTCAGTGCTGCATATGGAAAATAATTTCTTTTCACATATTAGGGATTAATGTACGTTGTTTTTTCTACTGAACAGTAATGAACTCCTGTGTTTATTCAGTGCACAGTAATGGACGTTTGCAGGACACTCTGCCTCATTTTCATTTTGTTAAAGCCTAGTCCTGTGGTTAACAATTAGGAGTCCGCCGTGTAAGTTTCCGCGGCCTGAAAAGTGTGAGAAACCCTGAGCTAGAGCATCCCTAAGCGCTGAAGGCAGCGCTGGCTAACACGGAGATATTGTAGTCACTGAGCATGTCCTTATATCGATTTCGGCGGTATGTTCGTTGAGCTTCGCCTAGACAGCCGTTGTTCTTTCATTTCCTTTCCATTCCGCCTACCGTACTGTTACGCTAATCCTCTCGCTTGCTTGTTTTCACTATCCGTTTATAACAGACTGGATCCACTCACTAGTTGTGAAACAGCATCCAGCTGCTTCCGAGGTGTTAGCCAGGCTCATCTTACACCCACTTACTTCTTACTAGATGGTTGTTATAATTTCCTCTAATCGCCTACGAACTATTTGTCTTGCCTCGCAGCTCCTAAATATTTACCACCTCACATATTGGACACGGAATCCCCGACCAGACGCATATTACGCTGTCAATTGTACGCTATAATGCGTTTCTTTCTGCTCATTTGCACACTGCTCACATTCTTACGCGGAAGCCAATCAATTCGAAATCTGAACGTATCTCGCGTTATAGACCTCAGGAGCCCTGTTGTACGAATTGAACACACTCTAATAGTAGATGCAATTGATGGTGCCTACGAATTCTCCATCCATCCTTCTGAGGCAAGTCATCTGGTACACATTTCTGCTCAGGTAAGATTCACATTTGAGTTTGTTGCTTTTAATGATATAGAGTGAAAAGCCGAAATCCCCGATACCTGTACATCCTCTCGAAAGCAAAATTAACACATACGCAGTTTCTTTGCGCCATCAGTCCACCGGTTCTGTGCGCTTCACCATAACCACTGTGTTGGCCAAGGTCCTGGAGCCGAAACCATCGGAAATCTATCAAAATGATAAACAGTTCGTGAAGTACTCGGGGAATATAAACTTTTACTCCTCATACGAAACTCTTTTCGAGGAAACACGAATTCTTCTCCCGAATGGCGAATTATTAAAACATACAACCTCTCCTGCTCCCATATCCAAACACTCGGGGGCGTTAGTTTACGGTCCTTATTATGATACTGCTCCTTCAACTTACGTGAGTTAATGTTCATTACACCTATGGATTAGCTTCCCCTCCATGTTCACTTTGAAAGCAACAGGCCGTTCCTGGTTGTGAAAAAAATGACGCGTTTGATAGAAATTTCACACTGGGGTAACATCGCTGTGGAGGAATCTCTGGAAGTAAAAAATGACGGAGCACAACTTAAAGGACCATTCTCTCGTTTGGATTTTGATATGGGACTAGGCCAATCAGTTTCAGTGATGGCTATCAAAACTGCATTACCTGCAGCAGCTAAGGATATATACTATCGAGACGAGATCGGGAACATCAGTTCCAGTTCCGTGACAGACCTGCTCGATTCAATGGAGGTCAAACTTTCACCGCGATTTCCTTTGATGGGCGGATGGAAGACACAATACGTTCTTGGATACAATATTCCTGCGCATGAATTCCTTTATCGTAGTGGTGAGTCTGACTACTGGTGACTGCGACCTCCACAATGGATGCTTGTTATTTCTCTCTTCAGTTAATCTTGGTTGTTCTGGCTCAACCTTTGGTCTAGCGGTCCTATAAAAATATACCTCACTTTTGTGCATGGCGGATAGATTGCTTCCTTACATCGGATACTTATCTGTCCCAATTTTAACTGCATTTAGACTGCCGGCATTTATTGGTTTTATAAAATTTGATAATGAAATATTTCTAGTGTCTATATTCACTGTTGCAATTGATTGCCGCACCATTGTTCGTAGTTCTTTACACAAGTCTATGCATTTGAGGTCAGTACCGTTTGCCTACATCCTCCACTTTTATAGTCCACTCTAATTCACTAAGGCTGCTTCCATCACGACACGCGTATCCCATTTCCTGCTACCTTTGTCGACTTCACGTCACGTAGGATCCTGAAGATTCCAACGCGATGCTCCATATGAAGATCATAAGTTCGGCGTCGCCTAAACCTTGTATGCACGCTGCTTTAGTATAACTTTGACCGAGTTATGTTGCAGTCATCAAGCGCAACTACTTACGGTCTGTGAGTTGAAGTACGGGGTTACAATAGCCTCAACTGACGTTGTTGTAGTAGTTGTTATAATTGTTGTTGCTGCTGTTGTTGGTGTAGGCAAATTAAAATGGCCCAGAATCAAATATGGGAGCGAATATGAGAGAGCCGCCGACTTTCGTGTGTATCTAACCATCATGGAGCTCATCTCGGAGGGTGACACGTATCAGCGTGTTTGGTGCTGAGTTATCTGCGGGGTAATGGCTGATTATGACACGGGGCAGTGAACTCCGCAAGGAAGCTGTCTCGCCGATGCCGCCTTGTCGTTGCACCATGGCCAGTTGTTTGTGCCGGTATGTTGTCTACACAAGGTGTAGGCGCGTTGATCCTGAATATTTGCTTAGAGCATTAGTGTTTTCCGGTTAGCTCCTTCTTTTCTTCTTCTTTATTCTATTAGTCATCATGGCGGCGAAACATCAGTTCAGATGGCTGATGTACTGCTGTTATTGTTGATGATGATGATTCGCCTCTTCGGTCTGGCTATCATTGTAAATGATGCAGCCTTCCAGATATTTAAACTAATACTTTGATTTCTTCAGGGGTTTCGGGACTTGACGATGTCACAGTATGGATCCACAATTCTTTGCGTACCAGATCAAGTAACTGTAATCCATTTGGCGACTGAATGAAAGGTAGAAGACATGTAGATTATTAGTTACGTTTGCTTTATACCCTTTTGGTAGTCGGTATAGTCGCGGAGGACGTTAACCACGGGAAACTGACCTTGTGACAAGCGAATCGTATATCTGCTTCGCTTCTTTCTGCTCCTTCACAATGTTGGTGACCTCCTTCTCCTCCTGTGCAGTCATCTCTTTCTGAACTGCATCCAGTCCAAATTTATTGCTGTCACTCAGAATTGTTTGCAGTTTGGAGATGTATTTAAACTTGTCCATCAATACCCAGCAGGACCCTTTATCTAGTCGAGAAAGAATCAGCTCATGTTTGGACACTAGTTCCTTGATCGTGTCTCGGTATTTTCGCGTTAAAATGCCAGATATTTATGATTTAGAGTCCTGATGCTTTTGTGTGAGGTGTACCAATGTCCTAAATTTCTTGCTTACAACTGGATGCGATGTTAATCCCACTTACACAAGTGTAAGTCCTATTCCACTAAGACTCAATGCTCTTAGAATAATTAAGCTAATTCCGTACGCAGGGCGCCCTGGTACATCCCATCGGCCGGTTGTCGATGGAATGAGACATCTGTTTTGTAAGGCGAAGGTCACTGGTTCGAATCTGCCCAGGTGCGGGCGACCTTGTATCCCTAGCCGGCTCACGACCGGCAGCGATTGCATGGCGCCGCACCGGCGTACTTGATATGCGCATTTCTTTTTAAGAGCCGATGTTTGGAAACCATAGGTTGCTTAGTTTTCACGTGCTTACCTAACGATCGTTTGCTACGCTTGTCTCACGCTGATTGATTCTTTACACGCACATAGTCAGCGGCATCCGATTCCGGATTCGCCACAGGACGCTTGCACCCACAGGAAGACCACAGGTGACTTGCGCTGCATCACGCACAGCTCCATCCATCCAGCGTAAACTCGAAGGAATAAGACTGGCAGTCATGTTTCATCAACTGAGACGGCCCACACTCCTCTGGCATGCACAACAGCAGCATACCAATCTGACACATCGGGAAATCATGCGTACCAGACGTATGCAAGACGGTGGCTGGGCCGTAGGCTGCTCCACACTGAATGCATGCAACCACTGAGTCTAGCACAGTCACGAGGACCGTGCATCCCGTCTCCCCATGCAACGACTAACTGTCTCCTGGAGCCAGTGTGATCGAAGTAGCGGTTCTTTTTCAGCATTCACATCAAGTGCATCCACAACGGGAATACCAAATAGCAACCACAGCACGTGAAGGCAAATACGCGTGAAAACTGGACAGTAAATTTGCGGCAGAATGACAGAATTGAGCACAAGAAAGTGTGTCCTAAACCTGATCTGATGTAGCTGTGCTCTTGTCGAGCTCGGTAGTCCTTGTTGTTTCACTCGGCTCTTTGGACGCCCTTAGTAGTTTGCCTCTACTCGAAAGCCGTTCACCTAGAGAGGTGGCCCTCAACGATCGCGGTATACGTCAATCGCTTCGCTGTTTTGCTGGTTAGGTCTTTATGACCCAAGACTCCGGGTGGGGTCCCCTAAGTCAACCCTCTTCCTCGTCCTGGACAACCGGGAAGTACTATGCCCACACAACCTATAGATCCATGTCTCAACAATTCTTCGTTCGTTCTCTCCGCTCTCGCTTTATCTGCTCTCACTCTCCTAAACTGTCTTCATCAATCGAGGTGCTGGCGGCTGGACTTGCCAAACCACCTGTTACCGCACCACCATTTAGTCACTTTATTCCATGTTTGTCCAACCCCCCATTCTTGGTCTTCCCCCTCCTTTTTCGAGTTCACAACATCGTGCTGCCTTGGGTGAACCTTCTCGCTATGCGGATCAGGAGCCCAAGTCCGAAGATGCGCCAAGTCGTGTTGACAAGCGATTTCTAGCGCTCCGTTCCCAATTCAAGCTGGCAATCTTCAATATTCGGACGCTGATACAGATTGGATCACAGGCAGCCCTTGTTCGCATTCTAGAAACTAGGGCCATTGATATCTGCTGTCTCAGCGAGACCCGTTTGCAGGACTTTAGCGCGACGCTGCGACTAGTATCACCGTCTGCGAATTCCACTGGCATTTTCACTTTGCGCTGGAGACACAACCACCAAAGCTGCTGGTTATGGTGGCGTGGGGGTTACGTTGAGCACACGTGCTGAGGCCGCACCACTAGACTGGATTCCTGTTAACAGTCGACTATGCGCGATCCGACTTGAAACTTCAGTGCGACTGTCCAGGCGCGAAGCCAGCGGACGCTGTCTATTCATTGTCGCAGCGTACCCTCCCACAGATTGCAGCCCGGGGTCAGTTAAAGATGAGTACTATGGTCAACTGGCCGATCTTCTCTGTAAAAAGTGTTGCACCGACATCGTGGTGCTCGCCGGGGACTTGAACGCGCAGGTCGGTAGACTTGAAGTTGAACATGAACACGGTGGTCAACACGGCCATAGCACTCGCAGAACTGATAAGGGTGATCGACTACTTCAGTTTTGCGTCGATCACGGTCTCTTTCTGTCGAGCACTAGCTTTCGAGGATCCTGGCGCCAACGCGTCGCCTGGAGACCTCCATCACGTGGCCAGCCGTGGACACAAATGGACCACATCGCCGTTAGCTATCGCTGGCGGGGTAGCATACAAGATTGCGATTCAATCTGGAGTACCTATCTCCCTCCGGATCAGGTGCTGGTGTGTGCCAAAGTTGCGCTACGTTTTGGTGGCTCCCAGCAGAAACGGCTTGACGTAGCTAAGCTTTCTACTTCAAACGTTCTCCGCGCATTTCAGGACGCCTTGGCCGCACGGCTAAAGACTGCCTTATGCACGGACATTGAAACACACTGGACACACATCCGTGGCGCCATGTACAACTCTGTAACCCTGGTCTGTGGCTTCACCAGTAGTCCTGTCAACCACCGGATCTCTGTATGATCCCTCCAACTTCTTGAAAGCCCGTCGAGCAATTCCTACTAGCCTTAAATACCATTCTCTACGCAAGATGACTAACAACTCTGGGAAGATCGCGGAGCCTGGTGGACGCCGCGGCTCATTGAAATCAAGCAAACGTCCATCTCGTGTAATTACCGTAAGCTTTTCCTCCTGATCCTATCTACTGGCAGCAAAAGGCCGACTGTAAGCGAAGTTTTATGCGAAACCACTGGCGAGCCAATCCACTGTCGAAAACGCTGACTCGAGCGTTGGGCCGAGCACTTTGAGTAGCAGTTTAACTGGCTAGCAGCACCAATGAGTTTCCATTCTGGAGTCCAGAGTGCTCCCTGGTGTGTAGACACTTCATCACCATTCGAGACTGTTGCACACGAGCTTCATCTCTTAAAGCGCTACAAAGCCCCTGGCCCAAATGAACTCACTCCGGCTCTTTTCAGAGATGGCGGTCCATCACTTGTTCAGGAGTTAACTTCTCCAAGAGATCTGGGTCACTGAAGTTATTCCTTCTGATTGGAGCCTAGCGGATATCGTGCCCGTCTTCACAAAGGGTACTCGAACTGACTGCACCAACCACAGAAGTATTAGTCTCATCTGTATTGTTTCCAAGATGCTCGCAGCTCTGCTTCTAAGGTGGCTCAGCCTGGTACGCGAACAGAGCATACATGAAGAACAAGCTGGGTTCCGCTCAGGTCGAAGTTACATCGACTACATCTTTACACTCCGCCAACTACTCGAGCGTCGTCAAACATCTGACCAGCCAGTGATCGTTGCCTTCTTAGACATACGAGCCGCGTTTGGCTCACTCTACTGAGATGCTCTCTGGAATTGTCTACTGAGAAGGGGAGTGCCCGAGGTAT